AGCAGTCTTGGAGGCCATTTTGGCAGTCTTTGAGGCCATATGAAGGCCGTCTTGAGCGAGACGACCGACGGAGTGTATCTTATCCGCGCGCCCGCCTCTTGGATCCCTCTTGGGGCATCCCAGGTGCCTATCCTTCCGTCTTTGAGAGGCTTTTGTGTGATTCCGATATCCCTGGGACCGTCTTGGGGGCCTCATGTGGCCCTCTTTGATCGTCTGGGGGGCAGTTTTGCCTTTGAACAAGTGGCGCAAGGAACCCCCAAGAGCGCCCGGAACTCAGGGCAGTGGACCCCGTAAATTATATCCCACCAAGCCCTCTGGGCGACAGGTGGTCTAACAATAGTTTTCTTTACTCTTCCACAATCCCTTCTTCCCCTTCGGGGAGGGGTTTTCCCCTCCCCCGACCCCCTCCCCTGGACCTGGACGGGGGGCTTCGCGAGCGGTCAGGGCGTCCAAGATAGCCCGAGATGGCCCCAAGAGGGCCTCAGAGAACCCACGATGGCCTCCAAGATCGCTCGAGATAGCCCAACCTGGTTCAAGATAGCTAGCAGCATGGAGGCCCCCAGAAGGTTTCAGGACGGTCCGCTGCCATTCTGGCTCGAGCCGCTCGGTCCCCAGAGCGAGCTGCGAGTTCAGCGCCGCCGGGCGCGAGTCGAGCCCCGGAGAACCCGCCGAGCCACATGCCGCGCCTGCCGGCTGCCGTCGCCGCTGCGGCCACGCTGGCCTCGCAGGTGGGCCGCTGCTGGGGGCGCGCCGCGCTGCTGCTCGTGGACGTGCAGGACTGCTTCCTGGAGAACCTGACCGCCAGCGGTGAGCCCGGGTCCCTCTCGGTGCCCGCTTCGCACATCATCGCGACGATCAACTCGATCCGCAGCGAGAAGGCGTGCCTCTTCCAGAGCGTGGTGCGCACGCAGGATTTCCACCCGGAGAACCACATATCATTCGGCTCCACGCACGGCCTGGCTCCTTTCGCGCACCTCTCTGGGAAGGGGAGCCTGCCCCTCACGTGCATCAATCCGAGCTCGGGCATGACGGCGGACGGCGCCTGCTGCCCCACGATCTACGTCGACCCCTCCACCGTCGATTGCACGACGCAGCTGTGCCCCCCGGCCGGCTGGGACTACGACGTCAACAACTCCGACATCGTCACCGACAACTTGGCATGTTCGTTGTGCGCCACCAGCCCGGCAGAATGCTTCTCCACCGACCAGGCCATGTGGACGGACCACTGCCTGCAGACCGGGGACTCGGGTTTCCCGCCCAGCCTCATGACGGCGTCGACCGATATCGTGGTGCAGAAGGGCATGAACCAGTACGTCGACGCCTACAGCGCCTTCATGGACAACACGAAAACGCTAAAGACGACCCTGGACACCACGCTGCAGTCGCTGGGCATCGACACCATCTACGTCGCGGGCATTGCCACGGACGTGTGCGTCAGGTGGACCGTGGAGGACGCGCTGACATCCGGAAACTACGACGTGAAGGTGATCACCGACGCCACGGAGGCCGTGCTCGGCAGCGAGGCCAACTTCGACAGCGCCCTCGCCGCCATGGTGAGCGCGGGGGCCACGAGCCTCACGGCCGCCGACGTCCTCGCCATGGAGTGCCCGCAGGAGACCTCGGGGAGCACGCGCCTCGCGGCCGCGGGCGCCCTGCTCGCCGCGGCCGCGCTGCTGGGCCCTGCCGGGCAGTAGGCGCGTCCTCGGCGCAGAGCCTCGGGGAGGAGGGGGAGGAGGAGGAGGAGGAGGAGGAGGAGGAGGAGGAGGAGGAGGAGGAGGAGGAATGGAGGAATGGAGGAGGGAGGAATGGAGAGGGAGGAGGAGGAGGAATAAAGGGGGAGGAGGAGGAGGTTTCGCGCAGGGGCCCCGCCGCGAGCTTTCCCCGCCAGGGCCTCGTTGGGTCCCTGGTGCGGGTGGGCCTTCTCAAGCCCTGTCCCCCCCTTGCTGGGAGGAGGGGGAGGGGGAGGAGGCCCCCGAATCTTGACAAAGATCATTCGCTCTGGAGTTTTGCCCGGATCTGTCAGCGCGTTTTCTAAATTGTGAATCTAGGTTCTTACGTTCCAGGGAGCGTGAAACGGCACGCGCGCGACGGCGGCAAGGGGCAAAAGGGGCAGGATACTGCACACCGCGGCCGGCCGGCGATGGGACCCCCGCCTTCGGCGACGGGCCCACCCATCGGAAGGCCGCGGTGGTGGTCCTGGTCGTGCTGGTCGTGGTGCACCACAACCTCTTCCCCCTCCATTCCTCCTCCATTCCTCCATTCCTCCTCCTCCTCCTCCTCCTCCTCCATTCCTCCTCCTCCTCCATTCCTCCTCCCCCTCCGTTCCTCCCTCCTCCTCCATTCGCTCTCGAGTTTTGCCCCGATCTGTCCAGCGCATTATAATTTCTAGTTTCTTTAGACTTTCCAGGGAGCTCCATCCCTGACGCCAGCGGCACTGACTCTGCGGGTTGACTCTATCCGCGGGATCGAGCCCCAGCATGCAGACCGCGACAGCACACCGCGAAAGCGCGGGTACAGGTATGTATCCCCAGACACCTCACGTCTCGCCTGCTTCGAGACTAGGGACCCCGATCTCTCAGGAGCCAAAGAAGGACGTACACGTACATGAATGCACGCTGTTTTCGAGATTTTGAATTTTGCATTGCGCGCATACTCATATCACGCGGCCGGTCTTGCGGGTCAAGGGGCCGTGCTCATGTACATAGCTGGGCGCGTACGTCCTTTGTGGGCTCCCTAATCCCTCGACCACTTCGGGTGGACCGGATTTTCATCCCGAGTCGTTTTCTGACGGTCGCGAGGCCCGGTGAAGGGCTGCTCGCCCGTCTCTGCAGCCGCGCCTCGCGGACGGCGCCGCGCGCCCGCCCGCGAGGGGTGCGCCGCTGCCCCGCGCAGCCGACGAGGCGGAGGAGGAGGAGGAGCAGGAGGAGCAGGAGGAGGAGGCGGACAGGAGGGCGAGGGGGAGGAGAGGAATGAAGGCCGCCTCGGCCGTTGCAAATGCGCGCCTCACGGTGCCGCCTCCCAGAGCATCGGGCCCTTGACGGCTTGCAAGATTTTTTGTTCGCCGAGCCAGGATCAAAACAACAACAAAAGTCACAAGCCAGGATCAAAACAACTTCTTTTCGCCGAGCCAGGATTTTGGCGATACCTCAGGACCTCCCCGAGAAGCCAAAGTTTTTCAAACACTTGCGGGAACCCATCGATTTGTTCGAGAGAGCGTGATCCACCGCTGCTTTACTGTGGAAAATTCCCCCCCCCTCTTCCTCCGGAACCCGGGTGTCTCCCCCCCCCCTCCGAAATTCCCCCCCCCCCCCCCCTGCTGGACCCCCTGCTGGACCCTCCCCCCTCCCTTCCTCCGGCAAAACCCCGCCCTCCCCCAACCCACCCTCCCCCTCCCTCTGGAAAACCGGGGGGGGTTCACTACCGGTTCGAACCCCCCCCCCTCGAAAACCAGAGGGGGGTCACAACCGGTTCGAACCCCTCCCCCCCCCCTCACCGCCAGCAAACGACTCCCGGTCCCTACCACCGTCCGCACCACATCCCCCACTGTTGTTCCCAGCACCACTGTCCTCACCACCACTGTCCCCAGTGGTTGCACCACCGTCCCTACTGTCCCCACCAGTGCCCCCACCAGTGTCGCACTGTCCCCACTGTTCCCACCGCTGTTCCCACCACGGTTCCACTCTCCCCACTTTCTCCACGGCCCCAACCACTGCCCGACTATCCCCACTATCCCCACTGTCCCACTGACTCCTCCGCTGTCCCACTGAGCTGTCCCACTGTTCCCGCCACCTGTCCCCACTGTCCCCACCACTGTCCCCACTGGGGGTTCGAACCGGTAGTGACCCCCCCCGGTTTTCCGGAGGGGGGGGTTCGAACCGGTAGTGACCCCCCCCCCGTTTTCCGCCAGCAGCGGTAGAACACGCTCTTTCATTTGTTCCTTCTCGCCTTTTCGCTGCCGATGCGCTTATGAGGCCTCGAGATGACCCTAACATGGCCCCCGAGAGCCCCAAGAAGTGCCCAAGAGGCCCCCAAGACCGACCCAAGAGCGCCCAAGATCGCCCCAAGAGGGCGCCAAGAGCGCCCCGAGAGGGCTACTTCGATGGCCCCCGAGGGGGGGAGGTAAGCCGATGACTCCCCTTCCTTTGATCGATGGTCTCCAAGATGGCCCCAGGAGTCGGGGGTGGACAGACCTCCTACCCTGAGACGTCGATTAGGGAATTGGCCGTTTTCGGTTCGCGTGAGGGCGTCGCGGCCGTCGCTTTTGCGGGTCCAGGTCCGTCGGTTTCGGTCCCAGGCCGTTTTTACTAAGGGGAGGTCTACTAAAGGGAGGTTTGTCCACGGCCCCAAGGCGCCCCAGATGAGTCCCATCAGGGCCCCACGGCGCCCCACCCACAGGAGCCCCAAGAGGGCCCCCAAAAAGAGCTCCAGGAGGACCCCGACGTCCCTCCATACAGCCCCGTGGCTCCAAGAAGGTCCCCGATGCTCCAAGAGGGCCTCCCGTGCCTCTGCGTCCTTTTTCCCGCTGGCTCACACGGGCAGGGCTCCCGAATGGGCTGGTGGGGGTTTGCGAAGCGTAAGCAATTCTTCGCATTGCTATACAGAGAAGTCGAATGGAGCTGAAGACACTCCAACTGGTGCCTGAAAGCACGGTGGCGGGAACCCCGAAACAGCTTCATTCCATTTCTATTTCCTCTGGGTTCACAGGCGTGAATGATTTCTGTTGTCCCAGCCTGGCTGGGGCCAGCGAGGGAAAGTGCAACGGACGAGGTATCGATTCCGAAGTCGAATTGCGGCAGCGCGAAATTTGTAGCCGTAGGGTGACCGCCTACGAACGGAGTCGGCAACGCAATGACTCACGGTTGCATGCCGTTCCACATTCATTCACACCTTGACACAGGGCGGGGACGCGTCGAGAGTTGGAGCACCATTGGGCGGGAGTTGGAGAGGGACGGGTGCACCGAGCATCGAGAAGTGGAGGGCTGCGCTTCTCCTTACGGCAG